GTGACACATTTAACTATTAGCACACTGGAAAGTCTACAAGTCAAGAATCAATGTAGAAATTGTAAAGTCCAAGGACAAGATGTTTGCAATAGCTATCTTAGAGAAGAGATTCATTCCCATAATGTCTGAAGAGCTCTTAGAAACCAGGAGAAGATGCTAACAATGCAGTAGTTCACCAAATACCATGGACTACCAAAGCCATGAAATATTATTTAATATCATAAATTAAGAAAAAAGGGGGGAAAGAATTTCAAATTGAAATAGTGAGAAAACCATGCCATGTTTCACTTGTCAAAGTAGCACAATTTGGTTTTCTTTTTAAAATAATAGTCATTGCTGTCGAGATGTGTTGAGGCCAACACGCAAGGGGTGAGATAAGAGTATAAACCAGAGGGGCACCTGGGTGGCTCAGTAGGTTGAGCCTCCAACTCTTGATTTCGGCTCCGGTCGTGATCTCGGGGTCGTGGGATCCAGTCCCACGTGGGGCTCCACGCTCAGTAGGAAGTCTGCTTGGGATTCTTTCCCTCTGCCTCTCACCCAACTCGCATGTGGCACACGTGTGCTCTTTCTCTCAAATAAGTAAGTCTTTAAAAAAAAAAAAAAAGTAAAACCAGAAAGCCGTTCTGGAAAACATTGGGAGCCATATATCAAGAAGAACCTTACAAATATTAATATACACTGATCCAGTTCATTTCCTTTGACCCTTAAAATTTTGTTCATTATTCTTTTAGTAGGAATTTATTTTAAGTAAAATACAGGTTATCAGTGGAAAAAATGGAAGAAAAACCCAACATTTAAGAAAAGGGTTAAATAAGCTAAGTGAGATTCATCAAATAGAATAATTTTCAGTCAGTGAAAACCATGTTAATGAATATCTAATGACATCAGAAATGCTTGTAAAATAATGCTAAATGAAAACAGAGTAAGAAGCTGATTTCAATGTATTGAAAATGTATAAACATACAAATAAACCAGAAAACATATACCCAAAAGTTAATGGCAATTACCTCTAGGTGGTTTTTAAATTTTTCCATACTTCCCAAATTCTCAAAAAGGAGCATATGTTTGTTTATACATATAAATATATGTATATAAGAAATGTATTATTAAGCAAACTTGCCTTGTGCTTGCAGCACGATAAGATGACCTCTCATGTTTTATCATCAGTTAGGCAGCATAATTTGAGCCTTAAAATTAAGAATATTCCCCCGCAGTTAGGATATCACAGTGGAAAGGGATTCCAGTTATCTAGTCCAGTGAATCCCAAACTTAAGTGTGTATCCAAATAACCTGGAAGGCTTTTAAAATACAGGTTGCTGGGTTTCTGATTCAGTAATTCTGGATGCCTGAGAATTTGCATTTCTGACAAGTTCCCAAGAGATGCTGACGCTGTTGGTGTAGGGACCACACTTGGAGAACCAATAATCTAGTCAAACTTCCTGACTTATCAACAAATCCCAGATTTCTCCTCCACCACTAGCAAAAAAACCCAATTGTCCAGCTGCATCTGAAAGCCTCCAGTGGCAAGAAACCCTCTCGTGAAGCAGGGCATCCTAGAACTTAGCTAAGACCTGAAAAAGATTGTACAAGCCCTCTCGCATCTCCCCTAGCCTCCCTTTAAGCAGGAGTATTTCCCAAATGACTTGGGAAGGGTCCACACTTACAGTTATTGGCTGTTTTGTCGGGCATCATCTGAGTCATCTGCCCAGAGTGGGCAACGTTCAGGAAGGAGTCCCTCAGTTTATTGCTTCTCTTGAGGTAATAAAAATGTGTTGGGGCGCCTGGGTGGCTCAGTCGTTAAGCGTCTGCCTTCAGCTCAGGTCATGATCCCAGGCTCCTGGGATCGAGCCCCGCATCGGGCTCCCTGCTCTGCGGGAAGCCTGCTTCTCCCTGTCCCACTCCCCCACCCTTGTGTTCCCTCTCTCGCTGCCTCTCTCTCTGTCAGATAAATAAATAAAAATCTTTAAAAAAATAAATAAATAAAAATGTGTTGATGTGCGGGAAATGGTCCCCAAAACAGACTCAACACCCAGCACTAGTAAAATTTTAAAATGTATTCCATTTTAAGGGGGAAGTTACATGCTGCAGTAGTTTTGTGAATTTTGAGTTGTCACACAAGAGCCTACTATATCGGTGCTCTCCCTAATGGAGCAGAGAACTAAGAAAATGGGGCTGCTCTTCTTAGTGCAGATGTTGTAAATCTCTTGAAAGGTCTTTAAGAAAATCATAAAGACCTCAGTTCATTGCCTGACCAGCCCAACTAGCAGGGAGATTTGGGTTCTAATACGGAGATAGCGGTTCCTGTCTTTCCATCAGGGGTTGAAAAGGCAAGCTTCACCATGTCCAACTACCTCCTGCAATGGGCTCTGAGCTAGTTAACCCACTAGCCTCTCCCAAATAGGGGAGAAGGGGATAAACCTCTCTTTGACTCAAAATGAAAATATGATCTCCTACTTCTTACCTTCAGTGTAGTATCTATAGTGCAGTCTCAGTTACCTACAGCACTGGAAGCCACAAACCACATCAAAATCTCGTCAGCCAGCATCTCCAAACTCCTACCCCATCAAGACCTTTGTCAAAGCTGCTGAAAACCCAAATGGGAGGGATCTGAGTTTCACTTCCTCCTCTTTGTCCTGGAGGTGCTAACAAGCAAATAAATTGCTCAGCTAGAGAAAGAAAAAGGAGAAGTAAGGGTCTTCCATCATCTAAAAAAAACGGGCTCTATCAGCGGGAAATGTAGGCAGTGCATCAGCTGCCGCTGTCTGCCCCAAACATAGCCATCTCCACTGCCAGGACATTCTCTCTCTCTCCTGGGTCATGCTCAGCCATCAGCACTTCCACAGCGCATGCTGTCAAAATGCTGTGCACTGGTTCAGGGAGTAGCATGATGAAGAAGATGAAGTTCTTCCCCATAGGCGGCTCTGGTGCCCAGGAATGAGAAAAGGCTCACCACAACACAAGGACATGTGCCACAAGTCACTCTGGTCAATTAGTGCTAAATCACACGCCACAGACAAGCTCTGTCAGGGTCCCTCATCTATGTCTCGCTTCCGTGAATTCTGGAATAAACACAATGCCCATAATAAGGCCCATAACACAAAATGGTACTTGATATATTCTTGGTTTGTTCTTCCGAGGACTGCCACAAGAAGAAAGATGTCCTCCCCTCCTGGAGCTCCCGGGTGGTGAAAACCAGCATAAGAGTCATTTGCAGCTTCCATCACCCAGGTTATGCTAATTCTCCACAATGTCTTTTGGTTTCATCCTTGTCTTCCCATACCCTGGGGACTTCTAAATTTATACCTGGCTCACCCTAGTACCCTTTTAGCCAGAGTCTCCCCCACTCCAACTTGCCCTGACAAGAACTATGGAATAATTTCCCTGGAACTCTTTTCTTCATCATGTTGTTATTCTCCAGCTTAAAAGTTATCATGGCTCCCCATTACCTCACATTAAACCCGGCCTCTGCCACCTCCCCTTGAAAACCCTAGACTAACTGCCCCGCCTGCCTCTCTGACCTCATCTCTCATCCTTTGCCCTGCACTCAACCTTTTCATACGTGGCCCTTCCACCCGGTGCCTTCCCTTTCTCTTTTCACCAATACATCTCCTTCCCTTCTGTTCAGCTCTTAAAACTCTTCCTTGGTTGCTCCATCCAGACTCTTCTCCTTCCTTACCTTCTTTTTGACACCAGTTGGTCTATCCCTACATTAATTTAAACTTGTGGATGGGTCTCTCTCTTCAAGAGTTCTGTGGTTCTCTGTGGCCACACTGTCATTTCCAATAACATAGAAACCATGAGAATGAGCTCACAGATGGCTTCTTTTGACATACATCTTTCTCCTTCACCTCCAATGTAAGATAACAATTATTTAACTAACCGTTACATTCCATTTTACAGACCACAGCGGGCTTTCATGGACAGTCTCCCATTTGATCTTCACAACAACTTTGTGAGGAAAACAGGACAAATGTTATTACCCTCATTTTACAGTTCAGCAAGCATGGCTTTGAAGGTTAAATGATTCGTCCAGAGTCATACAGCAAAGAAGCAGGAGATCCGGGACCCAAACCCAGGTCCTTGAATCCTAAGTGCCTTGTTCCCACATCATCTTCCTACTCTGGACATGTGTCACACTTGATAAATGCTGATGGACTGATAATGCAGATTAGTAATGTGCAGTGTCATCAGGTCATATTCAAATAGGGATTTAGCATTCTGAAGCCACGCCCTAAGGATAAGGTTGGGAAGAAAGGCAAAAATGAGAATTCACTAGTGTCTTTCACTTCCAACTGACTTAAAGTCTGCAGGAGAAAAAAACTCATAAAACCTAAAATTAAAAAAAAAAAAAGAAGAAGAAGAGGCTTTTAAAAAGAAAGTTGGTTTTTTTCCTGGAAAGCTAAGAAAAGAGGAAACACCTAAGGGACTCACTTGAAACTTTCCACATGATGTGGCTTGGGTCAGATGTCAGACTGAAGCCTCTAGGTTGACTTGAAGTTCACTGGTTGATATCTCTGCACTGCCTGGACAGGGACGGCCAGGAGCAGCGGAAGCTAGGAATCCCAAGAACTGGACTCTCGCTATTCTGCTCTCTCTGTGTGACCTTAGGCTAATCCAAGGCTCAACAGAGCCTTGGGCCTCCATTCCTTTATCTGTCCTGCAGAGAGGTTGAATGAGATGGTCCCTGAGATCTCCTCCGGCTGTGACACTTGGAGAATCTATGAATAGCAAGGACGCAAGACAGGTGCGAGCTGATCACCATGTGGGAAGCTCACACCTGTCTCTCCCCAGTGTTTCCGCCCCTCACTTCCAACAGTGCCAAACTCCAGGCCCAGTGAGGGTCCAGTTGCCAATTTTAAAGCTGTTCAAGGACAGTCGTCCTTCTGCATGGGGCTCCTTCCAACCCGAAGCTGGCCTGCCTTCCTCCCTCTGCAACTCCCTCTCTCACAGGTTACTGGGATTTGCATGCTACTAATTCATTTATGTCTCTTTGCTTTTAGATTAAAATTACTCACAAGAATCAAGCACCTATGATGATGGGGCCTCCCCAGAAGAGCAGCTTCTTTTCGCTGAGGAGGAAGAGCCGTTCAAAAGACTAAATAATATGCCAAATGCCACTTAAACCAAGAGAGAAAACAAGAGACTGTAACACACACACACACACACACATACACACACGCGCACGCGCGCAAACACACGCACACTCATCTCTAACCAGTGGAAGCAAAGCCACCCATCAGGAAGAAATCTTCATCTTGCCGTACATGCTCTCTACTTCAACAGTGGACACACCCCAACAGAGCCAGTACCGACAGAAAATTTTGAACAGACTTAGGGCCGACCGGGGTGTGGTTGGCCGTATGGCAACCTCCACATTCCCAGAAGGCCGTGAGTGGGACTTTCTGAGACTGAAGGAGAAATCCCCCTTTCTTCCCACCAGTCCTGCAAGTTCCCTCACAGACGCTCACAAGAAGCAGGCTGCAGGTTTCCTGCCTATGTTGAGATCGGATGTGGCCAAGGGAAAGAGCTCCCATTCCAGAGAATTTACACAAAGGTCCCTCTGTACAGAGACCAACAGCCTCCAGCGCTCAGAGCATAACCCTTGGCAGGGCTCAGCAAGCGCACGTTGGTTGCATAGTTGTCCTTCAAGCAGCAACTTCTCCCTGAACTTGCTGAGGAGGCAGAAAGGCTGTGGAAAGCTGTGTTTCCATTCTTGGTTCTCCACGCTGTCAGTGGGCACTTGTTATTTTCCCAAAGGCTTCTCCTGGTGGCTGTGTGTTTGTTTAGAGACGGCTCCAAGAGCCCCCAGAGCAGCCTGCACAGCACACCTTCGATGTGGTATTTATTTTCTTAGTTCTGTGAACACCTGGGAGGGAAAGCAGAGAAACTGGGATTTATTTTTCAAATTGGTGTCATAATATTGTGTAAAAAGGGAAGAAAAAAAAAACCACCCCCAGTTTCTTTCTTTTTCAAGCCAAAGCGTGTTTCCTGTTTTGAGTTCCAAGCCCTGGTGGCAGACTACTCCTGAAGGCAGAGAGGATGAGAAGGAAGGGCCTTTTGCTGAGAAGACCAGGAGACAAACCCATCAGGTGGCTCCCACCTGCCTCTTTGCACCTACCACTCCCAGAGCATGACCTGAGGGCCCTTCTGATGGTCTTATGTGTGTGTACATATATGTAGCATATATATTTATACATATAAATATTTATTTACTGATGGACTTTTCCTGATTGAAAAAAAAAAAACATATGTAGACGAGGAACAGAAAGTAGGAAAGAAAAAGTAGGTTCTTACTCCCCGTCCCACCATTTCATTGTCAAGACACATTTCCCAGTGGCGATCATGAGATTTAAGGGAAATGAAAGTAGCTTCTTATCATAAAGAGACTAAGAATTCCTATTCTGGATTCTCAAAACAGCCATGAAAGATATGCTGGACAGAATTATTCTCCCACTTGCCAGCGAGAGATAGTCTCAGAAAAGTTAAGAGACTTGTACATGGTACCTTAACTAATGTGGTTTGAGAATAGGTGCCACTAAGAGGATGTTTATTAGAAGAATCCACACGTCTTAGAATAGGGTCATTTCTGGTCACTGAGAAATTATTCCATTCGAATCCAGGTTTCCAGGGAAGGATGAATGCGTAGCACATGTGTGGATGTGACAGGCCCACACAAGGAAATGAGGGCCTCGTGATGCTTCCCAGAGATTCTCTCTGGCCTGAACTGGTAAGAAGTTGGTCTGGGTTGAAGGCACTAGACAGATCATCAGATTAAGCTCTCCACCTGTCAACTCGTCATGGTCGTCATGGCCTCTTAGTCTGGAAGCACCTGTGGCTGCAGGGATGACCTCAGTTGGAGACTCAGAAGAAGGACCAAGGCACCTTCTGCAAGGTGTTGCCAGCCAATACCCAGAGGGGTCCCAGCAGAGCTCAGTGGGCTTCATGCAGCTGCTGCCAGCATTACCCAATTCCTTTTGCGAGGGCAAGTCTGTGTAGAGCTTCATTAGTAGACAGAAACATTTGCCTTGGTGCCTTTGCTCCATCGGACCTCCATCCCCTCCGAGATTTCTTAAGAGGACACGTGGGCCCACTCGACATCACTCCACTGAGTGCTCTCTAATCTCCTTGCACTGAGTCAGGAGCTGTGCACAAGGAAGGGAAATTAAGATTGTGTGTATACACTGATCCTAACTCTGAAGGAAGCAATCATCTAGGACCATCCTGCTGGATCCAACAGTGCGAAACAGTGGGTGAGGGGACAGCCAGGCTGCCTGAAGAATGTCCTGAATGATGGGATCCTTGGTGATGGGACGGACCAACAAGTTCCAGAATAACAGCAGGTACTGTCTTGGAAGCCACTTGATTTTGAAACAGAGGCAGGTTCAGATTTGAGGTCACTGATTCTGAGAAATTTACAGAAGTTTTTGCATGTGTTTCAACCCCAATCCCCCAAGATTGAGGCTGTTGAGACGTGGCACTGTGGACAGGTGAAACTGAGTTGCAGAGATTCACAAGTCAGAGTGGCCCCTGCCTGTTCTAGTCTAGTGCATAGGACTTGCAGTGTTGCCTGAGAGACATGTCCCAAAGCCTCCCTAGAGCCACAGAGTATAAGAAGGTAGTGGAATAGTACTTCCAATTTGGTAACCTCAGTAAGTCTAGTGGTGTTGTTTAGTGTGATATTGCAACTCATTCCTTAACTACTGTGACCATGGTTTCTTCCTGTAGAGTACGTCACCATAGTGGGCCTCCCAGCAATCTCAGAGGTTGATGGAGAAGGTATTAATCTCCCAATCTTAATAATGAGACAGTGAAGCTTAATAAGGGTTCAGTGACTTCTCAAAGTCACACACTAAGGCAATCAGGGCAGAATCCAGTCCCTTAGTCTTCATCCTATTCTGATTGTGGCCATGCAACAGACATGTTCCCACCTGCCCCCACGGTTCTACCCTACCAGCAATAAAAATAATGAAACAGAAAATCTTCAGTACATCATGTTGTCCCTGGACTATTGAGCTGAGAGTTGCATCTTATTATGGCTTGGTCTTTGTGGATTTCCTCCAGTGAGTTGAGAATGGAGATAGGCTTAGTAGAATGATTATATTTCAGGTCAGAGACCAGCTCCTCTCAAGATAGTTCTTTCCACAGATGGAAAAGATATGTTAAAATTGCCAAATAAATTAGGAAATACTTGGCAGAATCTGGAAGAGCCTCCAGACTGGCGTTACATAACATGCATATACATTATACATATGCACATTATATAAGGTGACATAGTACTTAATGTGCTGTATATATTATGCAAATTACATATTTGTGAGTAATCATGATAAATATAGAGACCCACTAATCACTTTTTTACACATACTCAGTGACAGATTAGGAAGTTACTTTGCCAGAGAGTCTTAAAACTTACTCTCTCCTGCTGCTTTGGTTCCAATTCCTGACAAAAATAATTGCATCAACTTTTCCCATCTCTAGCCCCCTCTCCTCTTGGCCAAAACCCTCAGTTACCTCCTGTCCCAGCTAAGCTGTACCTTCCATGGAACACACCACAATTGGGTCCATAAAAATAGAATCATGGGGATGGGAAGGATCTAGACTTACAGATTCCCCTATGTCCCAGGCCTACACCTCAACATTCCCAGGCAAGTGGGTGCCTAATGTTAATACCAAAGGGAGAGAGGAGGGCAGAGGGGAGGGAGGAAGGGAGGAAGAGTCTACCAACCCTCCAAAGAAGGAAACTTCATAGTGTTCCTTGGCTACCAGTTCCAGGATCCAACAATAACCAGTCAGGAAGTTATTTCAAATGCCTAAGTCCCTACAGCATATCTGAGACCCTAATTTCCTAAGATATGTTTCACAAAATGCTAGTAGCCATAAAATGCCCCATGAAAACAGAGTTCTTTGATCAAGTACTAGCTCCCTTTCTAGGAGAGACATAGAAAGGCTTAACTCTAAGAATTCACAGTAAAGAACCATAGGGTCCTTTGTTTGTCTGCCAACATCTATAGATTAGAAACACTGCCTTAAGCCCACCATTTCTTCTTTTTGTTCTCAGTGGAGATGGGAACACACAAGTAACCATCCTCAGCAACAATGTTCCAAAAAGTACTTCTCTAGGACAAGGAATCTCCAGTCTTAAGACACTCTTTAGTTTCTTCTGTGTGATTCTTTAACTATTTTTATTGTTCTCCTCTACATGTCTTCAAGCAAGAATCAAGGATCTGGACTCTTTGTCCCCCCGGGGGGGAGGGGGCGGGGGGGGGAAAGAGGGACTGGGGACACATGATAGCTGCCAGGGGTCAGACTTCATCTGTGTAGCTCCAGAGAACAGAACCAGGTGTAAACAGCACAGTCAGAGGGAGGTTGATTTGTATTCAATTTAATGACTTCTTTTGGAACTGGCCAAATATGGAAGGGGCTGCCTTCCGGGGCAATGAACAGTTAGCCGCTCTTATGGGAAGTGTTAGGTGGGGCAGAAGCAATGATTGATCTACCTTGTCCAACAAGCTAGTGAAACTGGTTTTGTCAGCAACAATGTTAAGTCAATATCTGTTACTTCGTTTTGAACAGCATACCTCAGTGTCCCATGTTTTCTGAAAGAATGAAAATGACTCCCAGAGAGATTTCTGGATCAGCGGGTACTAACCAGTTAGACCACACCTAATATGTGGTGATCTCCCCTCAGTAGTTTGGAGAGTTAAAGGAATGAGGTACAGTATTCAGACGAAAAGAGGATCTGCCTTTCTTACTGGGGTCCATATTGGCAGTGTGGAACTCTTCTTGTCCGACAAATACCAGACCTGCATCTGGCTTGCAATAACCAGGAAAAAGAAACCATCCCACATCTCAAATATCAATCCAGTTTTAGATAAAACAAGAGAGCAGAATTGTATAGAATTTCACATGGAGCCATTGTTTGTGGCTCACCTTGATGTCTCATCATGCTGGAGTAGGTCTTTCAACTTTCTACTATAGAGAGAAAACAGGAAAAGGAGACAGGAGAGGGAATTCCCATTTATTGCTTACTGGATACAAGGCACCATGTCAAGGTCTATTCATGTGCTGTCCCATTTAATCCTCAGGATAGCCTATGATATGGGCGTTGTACTTATTTCACAGATGAAGGAATTAGTGCATAGAAAGGTGAAATACCTTGTCCAAGGTCAAAAAAGATAGTAAGTAGTAACAGCTAAGACTTGACATGGATCTGTCTCACCAAAAATGTATGCTTTCTCTACTAGACTTCAGTGCTTTTACCATCCTCGTCTGTTCCCAACCCTGCAATCATTCTGGGTGAGGTTACACGGCATTGGCAGATTGATCTATCAGGTCCACCTCTGTATAGCCATCTAATCATGTTCCTACTAAAGAACTTACAGTGCTTGTTCACATTTAAACTCAACAACCTCCGTGGGCAGCTGGAACCCCAAACCTCAACTTTGCAATCAGTTTGGCAGCCAAAACTCGATCTTCAATGTTTCAGATTCTAGCGGAATGGGACTCGTTTCCCAGGGCTCCCTAATAGATGTTCAACTGTTCAACTCCGTGAGTGGGAGAGCAACAAGCAGCCTTCTCAGACGTAAATGCCATGGTCAATGGTGACTGGCCTGCACGGGGAAGGAGGGCTGGTGTTGTTGACGGGAGCCTCCAGCAAGAAGGCTCTGCATGTGCTCCTCATTAGTGATAGGCGTGGGCTGGGCCATCTGTATTCCACAGGAGAACAGAATGGCAGGCTGCCTTTCAGATGCCAAGAGAAGCTATCTAATGGGAAGATCCAGAGAGCTCAAAAAGCAGACAGGCATCTTTCTGCACGGGAATCTCTGTGGGAAAAGGGACACAGAAAGCCAAGGGTTTTTGGAAATTAACGGCTTAACTTGCTGGGCAACCCCCCGCCCCCCGGCCACCACTTCATTCTTCATGCCCGTGGTGCAGAATGGCAAGCCGAGCCCTGCAGCCTCAGCTGCTAGCTCAACTCCCTTAGCACCCACGATGAACCCACATTATCCTGAAATCTGTGGCTGCAGTGGCAGGTGCATTATAACAAGGCACCAGAGTTTGCAGGGAAGCCTGCAAGTCTCCCAAGGGCCAGGAAGCACAGCAGCTAGGAGAGGCCATATGACTGGATGCTCAGTGCAGATTCTAGAGGGATAATCAGAAAACGTGAGGACAACTCGAAATGCTCCAAATTAGGAAAATGCAAGTTGGAAGCAAAGAAGAGAACATATACCCCAGTATCAAGCATGTAGTAGGTAATGAATAAATATGTGTTAAATGAATAAATAGCTAAAGTGGGCATCTGTCCTTCTATCCTGGAATGGGTAGGGGAAGGGGAGGTAGAGGCGATGAAAGCTTTTTAACTAACAACTCAGGAACTTGAAACCACAGGATGTAGAGGGAGCTCATGGGGGCCTCTAACTACACAGACATCTGTTGAATGATGGACACAGCTAAATATGGATCATCAAAGGGCTTTCTAGGTCACATGGAGGGCAGTTTCATGATTCAGAAAATATGAAATTCAACCTGGACAGAAAGACAGAAATATTTGCAATCTACTTCTTAGCCATCGGGTCAGAGTGGACAAAGAATAAAAAAGCAACACAAGTGGGGTTACAACACAGTAAGAGATCGACATAATAAGGGACAGATTCAAGAGATGAAAAGACATGGAGAACTGGGTGTTTTTTTAGCAGATTTATTTGGGCAAGGGAGCTGAGCACTATAGTTCAAAAATGAAAGAAAGGACCAACAAATCCTTAAAAAAAAAAAAAGCAGCTTAAAAGTTGAGTTAATGGGAAGATGGACATGTCCAGGCGTTGATGCAATTGTTAATAAATAACTATCATTGATTGTGTGGTCCCAAGCCTATTACTTTGATGAGCACTGTTAACCTGCACAGGAACCCTAATGAAGTTGGTGGTGTACAGTTCCCTACTTGAGAAACAAGGAAACTGAGAAACAGAGCAATCCCCTTGCGGCAGCTCCATCAGTATCTACCTTCAAAGCCAGGCCTGTGCTTTGAAGGTACAGGCCAGTGTGGATTCCTCTGAGCTCCAAGCACAGTGACAGGGATTTACTACCCCAAACCAGTCCCGTGGGCGCACGCACACCTTACCCTCCCTTCTTCTCAGGCCCTCTCTCCAGAGGCGTCAGCTGGGCCTTGTTCTAGGACCTGGCTCAGTCAACAATGGACAGCTGGTAAAGAACTCACCAGATCAGGGTGTTCACATGATATGAAAGACCACCTTAAAGGATACAGAGACTATATTAAGGATCAGGAGCAAGTGAAATGAGGTCAGGTAGTCAAACATCTGAATTCAGTAACGGATAAGTAAAGGTGGAACAGAGATCCGAAACATCTTTTTAAAAATCTCTTGGATAAATCATAATTTGGGGTAAGAAGCCTGCTCTAGAATGATGCAAAAAATTTTTTTGAACTTTTTCCTTTCCATAAAAAACCCCCAAAAAATCCTTTTAAAAATTGAAACTTAGCAAGAATTACAAGGTGAGTGATAATAAAATGGTCATCTCTTTTTTCCTTAGACAAGACAAAAGGAAATCAATTTCTAAACCTCACAACGTAAATAGCCATCCAGAAAAAGATTCCAGAAAGTGTGCATTTTCTGTTGAGGGATTAAACATCAGTACGTTCAAAGTAATTCATGAACTTATTTTTTGTTCTTATTTATTTTTTTAAAAAACTGGTACCAGTTGGTTACCAGAAAATGGCATGATCTTCAAGAAAAGAAAAATTTTCTTGGTGAGTATTTCCTCTCTCCCCGACATCTTTGAGGTAAAAGGATTGAGAACTAACTAGATCTTTTAACTCACAGCAACGTACATCCACGGAAGGTGTTAATAATAGAGGATATCATTAAATTGCTGTTTGGGGTTTGCTATCATCATACTGTGCTACCCTCAGGCATGTAGGTCATGATAATAAACCTAAAAGGATGAAGTAATCCCAACTCCCTCCCTCTCCCTGTCAGCCTCCTAAAGCTTCCCACCATGGCCGTCCAGGTTAAATATACTTTCCTGAATTAGAATAGCTGGGAATAATTTCTTTTTATTATGGAAATTTTCAAACATACAGAAAAGCAGAGCCAGGAGTATAATGAGAACACATATACCTGTCACTTAGATTCAACAATCGTTATCATTTTGCCATACCTGTTTCATTTTTTTTCTGAGGTATTTTAAAGTAAATTACAGATGTCATGACATCTCACACCAAAATACTTTCACATACATCATTATAGGGGATCCTTCTTGATGTGGGAAAGGCTGTGTATATCAAACACACTGCTGTCAGAAGATGTCTGGGTGCTCTGGTAAGCTCGGTCACTTCTCATTCACAAATAGAAGTTAATCAGGACATCACTCTAATACTAATGAGGACAAAGTTTTGGGAGGAACCCAAGGAAGGTCTTAGCTGTATTCAAAACGTGTCTGATTGATCTAGAGAGAGGAAAGTCAACAGCACATTAACTAAATTCTCAGAAGATAAGAAGTGGGGAAGTGTTTGTTATAAGCACTAATGATACCAGAGAGAAAACTCAAAGCACTTGGAGGAAGTAGAAATTTACCTAAACAGTGCATGTTCTTGGTTTTGAAATAAAAATTGTTTAAAACATTGGTAATTACAGAAAGACTGGGCACAGGTAAAACAGTAAAACATTCTATCTGCAGATTCCTTTAATCATAGAAAAGACAGTTGTGGTTTTTGCCCCCACCATGAGATGAACATGGCGCTAGACTGGGTGGGGCGGGGGGTGAGCCACCGAGATGTACAGACAGGTCTTCCCCCTCCGCTGGGGCATAACTGAACTGGAAGTGCGTCAACTCCCAAGAGAACGTCTGGGAAGCTTGGTTGAGAAGCGTTGGCTCACTTACGCAGGGTAAGATATCATTTTCAGTAGGCAAAGAGTAAGGAAAGCAGATATCATTCCACTTGCTCTGTGCTTCGCTGGTGGGGTCAGGGCAGGCTAACTGCAGATGTTCTGAGCAAGATGGCGGGCAAGGTGGTTGGGTGATTTGCTTACAAAAATCTGCCGGCTCAGTGATTCTGCCAAACAAGAGAGAAGCAGGCAAAATGAGGGACAGCAGGTTCCAGAATGTTCAGCCTGTCTCCATCAATAAATGAAATAAGTTTCCTATTCAAAACAGCCTAGGTGGCTGCAACAACTGGAAACCAAGGCCTAATACCCAGCCTGTGGCTGGTGGACCTAACTGAGCACCCATCTGGCTTTCCACGCATCAGGAGGAAAAGCTTCCTTATCCATACCCCCAGGGCACATCTACCTCTTTTTGACTCATGAAACACCCCCACCCCACCACCCCTTCCCCCACACCATGAGGCTCATAAGAAGAAGCACCTCCTTCTTTTCTCATAACATTGCTGCCATAAGGAAGGCAAGTCTCTGTTGACTGACTCGGCGATGAAAATTGTTTCCATCCTCCTGAGAGTAGGAACACGCTTTCTTCCCAGAGCGCCCCCTCTTTGGAAGCACACAGTCTCTCCTGAGCTCCCTCCTCCAGCCTCACCCCTGGCCCTGAGGAGCCCAGGATCCGCTGATGGGCGAGAAAACACATGAGCTCACTGGAGCTTATATAAGAGCTCTTGGCAGGCCTTCCCTGGGAGCATGCTCACATTTGCCTTGTCTAGGCAATGTGATTTTTCCCTTCTCTATCTCCTCAGAACAGAGAGGCCGATTTGTCCTCCTGCTCATTAGTGGCTTTGTAGCTGGGAGAAGGAAGCACAGTGTTCCCTCCTAAATCCCAGTGACTCAAACTGGCAGATGTTTTCTGAGGGGGAGAAAGAGTATCCACGAGGCAGAATTCACCTGCAGGCCTTGAGCCCCCTCACACTGGCACTACCCCTTCTCTCTGCTCTTGTCTACGAGGAGCCCGTGCGGCTTCCGTCACCCAGAAGAGCAGTGAAAGCCGTAAGGGCTGAAGCAGCCTTGACATCTCAGAGGACTCCCGCTCTGATGTCCCTTCTGAGATGTTTGTGAGCAAGGTCTAGGGCAGGGAGAGACAAAATAAGATGGAAACCCTCCTCTTCCCCCAAGGGAAGAAACAGAACATTAATGGAGATCTTCCAGGTGTTCCCCTCGGCAGGAAATTGATCCTGTGTCCCGAAGACTTGGTGAAAACTCCTTTCCTCTCCCAGATGCCATTGTCTTGAGGGAGGAAAGACAGTTTGGGGAAACATGGGGGAACTGCGCTCTGGAAACTCAAAGAGAAGGGAGGAGAGACAGAAAGGGAAGGCTGTCAACCCAATCTCCAAATTCAGTGGATGTTTTACATAGCTCCCAAGAGAAGGCATTTGGTTCTTCTCCTGCCCCTGAGGGACGAAAAGGAGGCGGAGGAGCGGGTGGGGGGGGAGGTGCCTGGCTGTGATGGGCTCCCTCTGCTGCCCCCATCACTCCAGGCCTGGGCAGCTAGGAGCAGTGCCAGACAAGACGGAGGAGCTCAGCCTTTGCCTCCTCATTCTCCTTCCTGAGCTTCACAGGCCGGGACCCGGGGCGCTTAGTACCCACAGGCAAGGGGGGTTGCCCTCTCCTCCCCCTGCTCCTCTCCCGAGGCCAACACCACCTCCTGCCTCACACCAAGCAGCAGTAGGGACATGAGCAAGTGTCAGATCATGTCTCACCTTTCCCGCCTGTCAGATGGGGCTGGAGACGCTGGTTCATACATTTGTTCATTTATCCATCGATAAATATTGTGTTATTAACCAATGTCTATTTGCCAGGCACTGGACCCTAACTTCTTAACCTGTTTCAACACGATTCTCTTGCTTTTTCTCCACCATTTCCCATCCCATTCTGCTTTTCCCAACCTCCACCCACCCCCAATGCCCACTTCTTCCACCTTTTCTTTTTTCTTTTATTCTCATGATGTTTCTCTTCCCTTTTCTCCCACAATTCTATTTTTAGAGCTTTCATACATAAAATCAGAGGATCGCAGGGATCTTAAGGGGACATTTGCCCACTTTGTTATCTCCAGGCACGGCCGTGCTGAAAAGGCCCAGGGAAGATCAGAGAACATAGTCCAGAGCCCGATTTCAGGATGTAATTTGAGTGTCTCACAGCTTCTGCCATCAAGAAATTATCCCCAGTGTCTAACCGAAACCCCTCTATTCAGTACTATTCTCCTTTTTCTCTTTACCCTTTGAGTCACATCTCAGGCATAGAGCACCTTTGTGGATATAGAACCATTGGGAAGGCTAATGCAAAGCAACGTAGCTGAACATCCCAGACCAGAGGGTATTAGTATGAAAACAACAGAATCAGGAGCAAAGAAGGGACCAGAGGGCATGGCAGTGAAGTGGGTTTGACTTCTGTGAAATCAACAAAAACAGAATAAGCAATAACCCTCAAGCATAATCCTACTGGAGTCGCAATTTCGGATCGACTACCTCAGTTAACACAAAAAGTCCACTGAGCAGGGAGTTCTGGAATCAGTCCCCTATTACTGGAAAGGCTCTTCCTTAGATGTCATCGAGTTCAGCCTTGCATGCTGAGTTGGTAGCCAGCGTAGCACAAGGTCTGTGGTCTGTTGATGGTAGTTGAGTTACAAATGGTGGTCATTCAGTCTCGGTTCCAATGTGACCATATACAGAATTCCCCTCCAAAGCCATTTTTCCTGGCCTCTGGGGAGGAGGCAGGCCAGGGCTACACTTGGACAGGGCCCGATGCGCCAAATGTTGCTCTCTTGGATCTGTGTGAACCTGCCAAGGTGGCTCACAGTCTTGATGGAGGCAGTGTGCCTAGTGAGTAGGTCACCGGACAAGGAGGCAGATTTCAATATCTACAGCATTTTCTTTCTTCCTTTCTTCTTCAGATGAAAAGAGGCAGGAGATCAAACTAAAGAGAAGAGGGTCCTACAGCAAGTTGCTGACCCAGGTTCTATCACAGCTGCCCTCTTCCTTCGAATGGGCAGAAGTAACTTTTTGTGCCTCTCTGTACCATCATCATCCACACTCGGTAGGTACGTGTGAGAAAGTGTTCTTGTTAGCCAGGAAGCATAACCCCAAAGAAGCCACTGCTAAAGGGGTTCTGACGGATGCTTTTCTCTCTCTGCAGGAAACAAGTAAGACCCTTCTAGCTTGGAAAAGTCTGGCCACTGTTCCATAGAGCTGCTGTGGAAGGAGCCATTCCATGTGCCAGGATGATGTGAGGGATGAAACCCTGCCTGGGAAACAAGAGCAACACGGGGAGTAGGCTACATGCTGTCTCAGCCACATGGCCTTGGACATGTCCTTTAGCCTTCTGGGACCTTTCTTTCTCCGTCTATCCAACAAGGGGGGCTCTAAAGACTTTCCCTCTTCAACGATCTTGCCCTTACCTGGAGTAAATCCTGCGGCCATGGGAGAGGGGGTGGGGTCCTTGTTCTTAGGGGTCTTCCAGCAGGCCCAAGGCTCCCCCCCAGCCCTGCTACCCTGGAGGGCTACTCTTCCCCCCTTAAAGAATCTTCTCTTCCCTCTTCAGGATTGATCATGCTCAGAAAGCAGCTGATATGGGGGGGGCCAACATAAAAAAAAAACCGACAAGGAAACTCTTTGGTAAGCCCTCCACCTTTACACACACGCACACACACATACACAAACACACATACTCAGTCCCTGACGTGTAAACATTTTCCATTCTGTGGATCAAACCTGTTTTACCCTTCCTCATTGCCAGTGTGTTAGGAGAGAATCCATTCCCACCAGTGGAAAAGCACCACTTCCTTTTAGAGAACTTAGCTAAAGCTCAGTGTTTGGGGTGACCCTGGGCATAAGTTGAAGCTACACGTCCTAACGCACCTCACCTGCGGCCCATAAATGCAGACTCTTGCCAGCCGAGACTGAGGCAGTGACTGGGTTAGCACAGTGCCAGGGTCCCGATCCTTCACTCCTCACTCATCCACCTCCGCTGCCTCATCCACCCGTAGATACGCTACTCCGTCAGGGTGGTTGCCTGCTCGAGCCTGCCTGTCTGCCTGCTGGAGTGCCGTGGACTTATTCCTGTAATGTGCCGTGTGTACGTGTGTCCTGACTCTGTGGTTTACTACAAATAAACCTGACAGCGGACCGCTGACCTCTGACCTCCCGGTGGTTTCTTTCCAAGCCGCCGCTTGAGAAACCGGAGTTGTCTGATCAGCCACAGGGCGCCGGAGACGAGCAGGCTCCCCGAGGCTGGTCTGTGGCCCTTCACAGGTGTCCCCTGCCACGGCTCTGCTCAGACGCAGGGACTGGGAAGAAGGGAAGCTCTCTGTTGCCACTTTCCTGGTGTTGCAGGAGCGGGAGAGGGAGCCAGAAATCCTATTAAATAAGCCTTTACTAAACGATCCATAGTCCTCATTTCATTGATATCTGAAAACTCCCCTCTGAAGGGATGAGCATTTTAGAGATCAGGAATCAGAGGCTCGTAAGTGGTCATTAACCTGCTCACAAGTAACATGATAAGTAACCCAGTTCTTCTCTCATATCCCAGTCTTGCCCTTTCCTCTACACCAGTGTTTCTCCGAGGGGGGGCCCGGGACTGCTAACATCAGAAACACCTGAGGTCTGGATTCCTGAGCCCCATCAGACCTCCTGAATCATGGTCTCTAAGAGTAGGACCCTCAAATCTGGGTCGGTACATAAATCCTTGCGCCCACCGCGCCGCACCCTGCTGGGGGGACAGGACCACTCTGCGAGGCCCAGCCAAGCCAGCACTTTAGCAGAGCTCAGAAACTGGAGTCTGTGGAAGAGCGCCATGAGACAGAAGAGACCCGGAGGGGAGACAGATCTGGGAAGAAGCAAGGCTGTGCACTGCACATCAGAGTCGGCTGGCCCCTCGCCCCAGAAGGTGGACCCCAACAACAGGTCCATCAGCTCGTCTCCAGGCTGAGCGGTCTCAAGCCAAGGGTTCAAAGTCACACCCGGGTGGGGCTAGGCAAGGGGGTGTGGGCTCAACCCGGCAGCCTCGGGGACAGCGACCTACAACGGTGCAGCCTCTACTGCCTTTTCAGTCGCCATCGCCCTGCCCCGCCCCGCCTGACTGGCCAGTCCCAGGATGCGAAGAGCCATCGTCTTTGCCTCTCCAGGTCCTTCCTGCCACAAGTGACCAACGGTGTTCCAAAAGACCCAGAACTCAGGCCCTGAAGTCTGTCTTCTCCATGTCCCTGCTGTCATCCTTGGGGCTGGGCAAGGACTCTGGCCTCAGGGAACCTCACCAACATGTTACTCGCTCCTACCCATTCCCTCCCCTTTCCACCTGGATCTGTCGAACTCTATTTTGTGCCCTGGAGTCCAGGTGGAGGCTTCTGAAGTGATGGTGGGGTTGTTTGAGGTGGGGCACTGTGAGACAGATGCATCACTCCTACTGGGGGCAGGACAAAATTCTGGAAATAGCTCCACGGCCGCTCAACTGGGGACAGTCAGCTACAGTCTCACCCAGCCCGCTGCAACACTATGTGGGAAAAATATTTTCCTCAAGGAAATGGCTTTTCTGGAGTCAAGAAATCAAGAAAACACCTCCTGTACAGAATTTGATGCAACCAAATCAGCAAAACATTTAAATTATGAATGCAGAAAGTGGTTTATGATACAGAGTGAGAATTCTTCTAGTGAGAATTCTCTCCCATCTCTGTAGCTAGGAAAAGAATTGGGTAAACAAGGAAAATTCTGGTCCATTCAAGAACAAAGGCCCTTAGCAGTTGTGTTTGCATTTTAAACAATAGCAAAGAATAAGCCATTTGCTGAAGCATTTACAAGATTTTCTAACACATGTGACCACGTTCCTGCTCCTTCCCCCACTTAACAGGTTACTGTGTGCCTTTAAAAGTAACAACACTGCCTTTGTTTTTAAATGTTCTTCCCTCCTACTTTCCATTAAACCAAACTATCAATTATTACAGAAATATTTCTGAATCTAAAACCTTCAAGCCATTCAGAGAGGGAGGAGAAAGTCAAAGAGAGCCAACGTGGCAAGGATCTTTCAGAAAGAAAGATCAGAGAGGTCCGAAGGAAAAACAGTGGTCTCAGATTGGAGGGCTTGCAGAGAGCACGGAGTCTGACCTCTCAGCCAGAGCGAGACTCAGCTTTACGGCCCCTGTCCCATGCATGATCACCCCTGCCTCAAGACTTCTGCTGATGGGCAGCCCGCCACATTGCCAGGGAGCACCTCCAGAAGGTCTCTGAGCCTTAGGCAGGCTCCTATTACACCCAAGTCTGCCTCTCATTGACTCCCATCCACTGGGCCCCAGCTTGGCCACTAGCAACCCAAAATACATTTACCTCTGCGGTAGGACAGGGTGCAGACACCTCAGAACAGCGACCTCGTCCTAACTTTTTTCCCCCTCCAGACTAAACCTCCCCCGAATCCTTAAATCATCCCTTATATGTCGTGACTCTCAGACCCTAAGCCGTTCTTTCTCTGGAGCTTTCTCTGGAACAACAACGGTTTGCCAAGGTCCCTCTTAAAATGCAATTCCCAGAGCCGAACCCAGTGCCCCAGAAACGGGTGGATAAGCGCAGAGCCACATCCCGCGCTCTGGACTCTGCATTCGCGTCCCTTGGCAGCCAGATGGCTCTGCTGGGGCACCCCCTCTCACGGCAGCCATCCCCCACCTCCCGGGAGCGCCAGTCACTACCGTTGGGGCTGTGTTTCACTGATCACCAAGTCCCTTCAGAAACACGGCCTCGTTTACTCCTCACCACAGCTCCGGGAGGGTGATTAGAGATGAGGAAGCCAAGATTTTTCCAAGGCCGCATGGCCAGGCCTCACGCCCTGAGCCTGTGGTTCCAACCCCTTGCTCCTCCACACACACCCATGTTGCCTTTTCACTGAACGTCTATTAAGGCCAAGAAAGTCTCCCTGGCTCCATTTGTTAGTGTCTACTCAAAATCTTTTTCGGGGCACCTGGGTGGCTCAGTCAAACATCTGCCTTCAGCTCAGGTTATGATCCCAGGGTCCTGGGATCGAGCCCCACATCGGGCTCCCCGCTCAGAGAAGAGCCTGCTTCTCCCTCTCCCTCTGCCTGCCACTCCCCCTGCTTGTGCGCGCTCTCTCTCTGTGTCAAATAAATGAATACAATCTTTTTGAAAACATTTTTTTCTTTTTTCCGTTCCATTTTGTCTTGTTAATTTCTGCCCATCCTCGAACCTGTCTAGATCTTTTTGACTCCCATTTCTGCTGCCCCATATATTAAAGGGAAGACAATGGGTCAAAGAGAGAAGGCAGCAGAAGAGGATGAAGGACCAAACAAGGAAGGAGGAAGGAGCTGGAAAGGGAGCATCTCAGAGAAGAATGGGCAGCATAGTGCGGCATGTTGGGGGTAGGGAGAAGACTGGGTTCCAAAGCCCACCACCGCCGAGGGCTCTGCTACCCTACACAAGCCACTTAGCCTCTCAAGAGCCTCACTTTCCCAGGAGGGGGTGCCGAACTAGTCCATTCCCAAGACTTCTCCCAGTTTCATGAACCTAATGTAGAAAAAGACCTTATCGTTAGTCCAATGGATCTTCTCTTTTAATCCAATGACTGTATTGGACAACAGATTTCACTCCAAATATTTCACATGGTTTTCTTTTGCTACAATAAAGAAAAGCAAAGATGGCTAGGGGCCAAGGCAAGCAACATCTATTTCAATTGATTGCCAGCCCTGCGTTTTAGGGGGTGGGGGAGGGGAAGGAAGGATTAAGAGAGTTACATCTCAAGATGTCGGACCCAAAGACTAAGGAATCCTCAAGGGGGCCGAGCCAGAAGCTCTGCAGCTGTCACCAGACACCCTCTCCATGTTATCAGAAGGCCAAGGGTCCCGCAATGAACGGTGGCCACTGAAATGTCATGAGAAGGGAGAGAACGTGTTACCCATCTCTCGTGCACCCTCCTGGGGAGGTCACATGGCAAATGGTCTCGGATCATTGTGCTAAGATGGGAAATATCATCTCATGTTCTTATTCTTCTGGAGCAAAGCTGTTCAATAGAAATATAATGTGAGCCACATATGTAAGTTTACATTTTCTAGCAGCCACATAAAAAGGGTAAAAGGGAGCAGGTGCAATTAACTTTAATAAAATATTTTCTTTAACTCAAAAATTTCCCAGATATTATCATTTTCATATGTAATCAATATAAAAGGTATTAATTACTTAATAATCAATTAAACACTTCAATACTTGAAATAATTTTAAACAACTTTAAATAATAATTCGAATACTTTGAAATAGTTAATTTAATACTTAAATACTGAACATCATTTTTTTGTACGAAGCCTTCAAAACCCAGTATTTATTTGACATGCCGGCCCTAGCCAGGGGGGAGTAGCTGCTGCCCCAGACAGAGAAGTTCGAGGTGCTCCCACCGCATCTGGTGCTCCGCCCCGCATAACCCTTCTCCAACCACGTGATAACTGCCTGCTTCACGGTCTGCGTTATCCATCAGACTGGAGGAGGTCTAGGAGGGCTGGGACCGTGAGTTAACTGGTATGTCCCGGCTCCCGGCTCCGTGTTTGACATGGATAATCATAGGCCCTTGATGGACATTTGACAAGGAAGCAAGGAAGGAAGGGATGCAAGCTTGCCTATGTAAGCAGTACAGGAAGAGCTTGGGTTCGAACCTAAGGATCTGACAATAAAACACGTCATCATTTCACCGGATCTTGCCTCCTCCTAAGCCTCCGGAAGCATTATGAAGAGAGCACAGTCTCAGTGTCCAACAGACTTAGATTCAAATTCCAGCGAGGTGACCACTTACAGGGAGCTCACTGCAAGGGGTTTGGGAGTGATTGTGTGCTACTTACCTTACCCCTCTTAGCCCTGATTTCCTCATCTATAAAATGGGGATGATAATATTTACCTCATAGGTAACTATGAAGATGACATGTATCTTGCAAACATCAGACTTTCTGTAAATGTTAGTTTGCGTTCCTTGTCTAATAAAATGGAAATAAATCATTCCTATCTGGCCAAGTTTGAATCCTACAGCAGCTTTGTCCCTATCGAGAGAGGGAAAAGTAATGAAAAGCAAACCAAAATTTGAGAAAGGGAGCCAGCTCCTACCATCTGCCTCCTTGTTTGTTCCTTAAAAAGCTCCACAAAATGCAGATCTAGCCA